CATGGAGCCAGCTCTCTCCCTTTCTGAGAGCCTCGCAACTTCTACGGCCTTCTGCTTCGTCTCCGGCCCCTTCCACCTCTTCTGTTCTTTATTAAAACTGACCCTAAGGGTCTTAAACTACATCCAATTATCAATCCAGTCCTTTGTTTACCACAGTTTTCATCAAAAGAATAATCAAAGCAATTACCGTTTCAACATGCTCAAAGATTAAAAGGTGAAACCAAACTTGCAATAATACTTCTAGATTAAATTTAACACATACAGATGATAAATTTAATATATAGTAAACATGCACGATTCAATTTAATGATCCATTAAAACCCTAGAGCCTATCTAGGTGCACAGGACACAGGCTAACGGGAGAGAGAAAGAAAAGAACTTGCCTATGTGGTTTTGGAATCAAAACCTTGTCGTCGCCTTCCTAAGCTTTTCAACGACATTCATTTACCGTCAACTCAACCTTCTACTGCTCAGCCTTCCCTTCTCCTAGGTCCGACCCTTACTCCACAGCCAAAACCTTCACCAAAGTTGCTCTGTTTTCCTCACAACCTCTTTCTGTTTCTCTTTGTTTCTCTAATACGTGAATAAGGTTTTTCCCAACCCTAGCAGACGTACTATTCTATATATAAAGGCTAAAACAAAACCCTAGTCCATTTATATTTAGAGACAAAACCCCAATTAAATCCTAGTCAGCCCATAAAACAAAACCTAAGTTATAACCCATGTCGGTTGCACATACGTGACTTCTAAAAGAAAACCCTAATTAATCCAATTAACTTAATTACATAATTAAACAATTACAATAATTCAATTAAAGACAAATAATAAATAAAAACACAATTAAGTTAACTATCCAAATAAGTCAAATAATTCATAAAATAACAATTAATTCAAATAACCAAGTAACAAAAACAATTAAATAATTAAAAATGCAACAAAATACTTAATTAAAATACCAGGACTATCCTTTTAAAATTAGGGGTGTTACACTTGTATACTTGCTTTGTGTGTTTCCGATCCTGTTTAGTATACTTGCGTTTTTTATACTTGCCTTATGTGTTTTCATCTTCGTTTAGTACACTTGTATCTAGTTTGCTTGTATGTCGTGTATTTCATTTCAACTGCTTATATAACTTAGGATGATCCCTGAGTCTCACTTTAACATAGACGTCAGGTGGCATGAGCCCCTTTAACATGTTTCACCTTAAGGTGATGATATTGTAAAATGCTAGGTCTATGCATGCTCATTCCCTATGAGTACCACAGGATACTCACCCCTCGCTGAATGCGACTTGTTTCAGGTACGAAGACTTGGTTCGTGATGCTTATCATTCCTTGGATGACTTGTAGCTTTTAAATTTCCATTTCATGCAAATGTTAGCATGAAATGTCATTTTTTAGCCTTATATGTCAAAACTTGTATCTTTAATTCCATATATGTAACATGTAGATAAGTACACCTTTTACGATGTATTTGACATGTATGAGATGAGGCCGGAGGCCAATGACATGTATCTTGTATCTTATGTAACTTTTTAACTTCATAAAATATTATGAAAATATTGAAAAATGCCAAGTCATTGCTTCACCATGTTTGCATCGGGTGTGAGAATTCCAATTGTATTCTTCCATAGGGTCTTATTAATCATGTATGGAGTGTGGCCAAGGGCCAAATAATAATTTGACTCTATTTTATATTTTTGGATTTCAAATTTTCCATTTCAAGTCCATTTTTATCATATTTGGCTGTCGAGGGGTCGGATTTTGAATCGGGGCTTCTCGGGAGCCGCAGACCATTCCCGCCCGCTTAGAATCATTTATTACACTTGCGTGTACATTCATTTTAACCTAGAAATGCATTTAGGGTCAAATGCATAATTGGCGCAAAATTTCATTTTCTGAGTTTTTAACCCTTTACTGATTTAGGAGCATTTTGAGCATTTCACAGTGTGTTTTTTTTCATTTTCTCTCACGTAGCCGGGTAGAAAACTCAATTTCAGGAGGGATTTCTTTTTCATGTTTTTCCAAAAGAATTCGTTTAGTGGTCCATTTTAGCTCTCTGTTGTCGCAGTTTCAGAAAAATCACAGTCGTGCAGAAATTTATTTATTTATTTATTATTATTTTTTTTTCCTTGCCCAGCAGCACGAGCACCATTTTGGATTTATTTTTATGAAACTTTGAAGATTTATATCTTCTTCGTCTGAACTCCGAATCAATTGATTTTTGAGTCTAAGTTCATTGATGTTTCCTTGTCTATCCAATGGTACGCCCGGTTGCGTCCAATTCTATCTGAAAAGACCATTTTACCACTAGGGGCTTATTTGTCATTTTTTTTATCTTGCTTCCGCACTTTATTCCTTTGGGTTCCGTGACCTCATGGAAGGTCATCTTAGGGTCTTAGAGGTGTGTTGTGCCTTGGGAGACCATTGTCTTGTTTCTTGCTTCCGCATCTAGATCCATTATTGGGTTAATCTTCGGTTCATCCTAGGACGCACTGGTTTGAAAAACCAGGGCCGTCACACGTCTGGACTCAAAAAGACTGATATTTAGAAGATTCCCACATTTGATTTTAAGTCCCAGCATAATAGTGCTCGAGCACCCTTTAGTGTGCTAAAGGGTGCTCGAGCACTATCTTAGTGTGTAGTTTTGTAATGCTATTTTGACATATTTGGAGTCTGAATCTCGAAATGGCTATTAGATACAAAAACGACGGACTTCGAGTCTTCTTTTTATAGCCGCTAAGTTTACCCAATTTGGAATTTCGAGTAAAAGGTTATGCCTAAAATACTGAAGTAGTTCCAGAATTCTTCATTAGTGCTCGAGCACTATTCTGTACTTAGCCAAATTTTGACCCGAAAAAGTTCCGAAGTGTCTTTTTGTCCAACATTTAGAATATTTTTGCCTGGTACTCGAGCACGATGTCCATGGTACTCGAGCACTATGAAAGTGCGCTTGAGCACACTCCTCATAATTTGCCCAATTTTGTTTTTTTGACTTTTGAATCATCTCGAAAGGTCCAAAGCACTTCCAAAGGCTCTTAGATCATCGCTTCATGTTTTAAAGTCATGATTTGATTGCTTTCTTCGGGAATTCACCTACGAAAGGAAAATAATCAAAAATCTATATAAAACCAAAATAAAAGCAATGTTAAGGTACTAACTCATGCACTTTTAAAGGTTCGAATGTGTGATATTCAACGCTTATCAACTTTGTAAAGGCATTTATTTGAATTTTAAAGACATGTAATGGCCTTATTCTTTTGCCGGTTTAAAGCGAAACCGTTGTATTTGTGGCCACAGAGGCCTTGGCATGTAATCCTATTATTTTAAATACATTTTATCACGTCAAAGATGTATGAATGTTTAAATATAGATTTAATTATCAATGATGAATGTATGAAGGTATTTTGATGATTCAATGAAATGTTTTGAAGTTGATGATGCCCATGGGGCTTTATTTTTCACGCTCGGTTGCTTCGGGGTTGCATTTGAATAGGTTTGGAAAGTTAACATTTCGACCAATTCACCATGGGGCATCATCTAGCCGGTTAGATAGGGGTATTTACCCTATTAGATGAATAGGCAGTGATTGAGTTTGATGGGATTCTCCTATCTAACCGGTTAGATGGGTATATCTAACCGGTTAGAAGGCCATCTACCCGGGTAAAAGCTCCCATTTACCCCGTTAGATGAGTGGGCAATAGGGGGTGGGGTTAGATAGATTATTCCATCTAACCGGTTAGATAGACCATCCATTTTGACATGTACACTAGACTAGTCATGTACCCGGTTAGATGAATTCATGTACCCGGTTAGATGAGTTGATAATTATTGTTTGACCACAAATTTTTGTATAATTACCCAATTACCCCCAAACTTCAACCAAAGCATAGAATGACCGTAAAAAATGACGATTTTACCCCTAATGAGTTTAGAAGTTATAATGAGCGTACTAAATGACTATTATACCTTGATGGACTCTAGAATTACTATAATGACGTGAAATGACCGTAGTACCCTTATGTGACCTTGGGTTTGGGTAAGGACCCGGGTAGCGATCCGAACCCCTAGGTTTGGGTCATTATAGAGGGATTGTACCAGTATGGGAGGATTATTGAAGAGGTGTACTAAGTAGGTAGTGGTGGTGATGGTAGAGGTTACGGTGGTAATCGTGGGTTTCTCGTGAAGGGGTGGGTGATGGTGGCGATGGTGGGTGGTGTTGGGGTAGATATAAGATGTATGCATATGGTGGTTGTGGTTGGTGGTTGCAGCATTGTGGGGAGGTGTTTGAGGTGGAGAGGTTAGTTTGGTCTATATACATTTCTTGTACTTGTGTTGACAAGCCAAATGACTAAAAGATAATTTCATATGGCCTCAAAGGTTTGGAGGGGGTGCCAATGCACATTTTTTAAATATCAGGGGGTGTCAATGTAAAAAGAGTCATTAACCGTCCGCTAAGTGGCGTTGACCGAAACCTCAAGGAGTGTCAATATAATTTACCCTTTTATTTTATACAAGGTAGAAAATCTCTTTTTGTTCTTTTGTGATTTATTCTGAACCATGAATACTTTGACAACTAAATTTGTTGTGCAATAATTAAAAGCACAAAGTAATGTTTGAAAGTTGTAAAAACAAAAAATGTTATATGTTATATTGATTTTAAAAGAAAAAAAATTGCTACAGATGTTCAGCAATAGTAACAAAAGCATAAAAAAATAAGTTGTTTTTGTTTTTGTTTTTTTTTGTTTTTTTTTTTTTTTTTTTTTTTTTTTTTAACTAAAGTAAATGTGTAATTATGCAAAATATAACAAATCTTACCCAAATATAAATGTGATATAAATTGCACATTGATCAAACTATTTCTAAATTGGTCCACAAAAAAGAATAATAGAAATTGCATATTAGAAAAGACGGAATTTTAAGAATTAATAAACGAAACTTACCCAAACTAAACTAAGTAAGAAAAAAGAAACTTTACCCAAACTTGCCTTCAATGCATTCAACAATTCTAAGACGTTCAGAAGCACCATACAAGTGCTACACATTCAACGGCGCTAACAGGTGGGATGATGGAGAGGGACTGTACGAGTGTTACATCAGACGGTGCTGGAAGGTTGGATGATGGAGAGCACTGTACAAGTGCCACACCCAGTATCTCCTCTGATTGATTTTGGAGGGAAATGCAGTTAGTCAGTTACGCCTCTGTAATTGTGTGCATAAATAAGATTCTCTCTCCTCATTTCACCAAAATTTTCACTTTGAAACTCTTGTCTGCAACTCTAGTTCGATTTCGGAAACAATCGGGAAATTAGGGCAAAACCGGGGATCGTCACTATTTCTTCAAGTAAACTCTCTCTCTCTCTCTCTCTCTCTCGCTAAACACACTTCTACAGACACTTTCACACACACACAACACGTATCATCTTCTTCAATTTCAATTATATATTCAATTTCTATTAAATCTTCAATTTCAATTATAGTATCTTAGTTTTAATTTTTGTTTAGGTTGAGCTTTGTCAGATCCCTACGATCTCTTGATTGCTATGTATGTCTGAAGCTTGTGCGTACACACACGCACACATTAATATATATGATATCTTCTATGTGAATAGATCTGTATTAAGCTATGTAAGCCCTAGCAACTGTACATATATATATATATATATATTCTATATGCATAGATCTGTATGACATCTTCTATATATTTAGGATGATTTTCTGTAGAAACTTTCTAGTTGTTTTGTGCTTCATTGAATCGTTGGTCTGATATTCTGATATTACAAGTTGCTGAAGAATTTCTGGCTTAATAGTATATAAAGTTGCTTTTGAATGTGCAAGATATATATGTTCATTAACAGTACAAATTATAATTTCTTACGTTGCATAGATGGAATATTTTACACTTGTGTAAACGATTGAAGCATTTGAAGATAGAATTCACAACTTTAGAGATGAAATTATCATCTACATAATTGAAGAATTTAGTAGTTGATCTTAAATGATCCAACAGTTAATATGTTTTGCGATCTCGAGCATCCTTTATTTCTGTGGAATTTGGTGAGGAAGACACTATTTTGCTGACTCTGTTTGCATATGGGAGTTTTGATGTGGATGTGTTATGAATAGTTATCAAAGAGTAGAGTGGTATTCTATTGTCTAGTCTTATGGAATTCTATGATAGTTTTATGGACTATGTTGTTCTGCCGGCACAGACAGATAAGTGGCAACAAATTGGTCCAACTTTTATATGAAGTAGCCATCCCTTCTCTGCAATAGTAGCTCATATCTTGAGAGATGGTGTTAATTCTGTTGAACATTTGCTAGAATTTCTCTGCTTCACAATAGGAGTACCCCCTCAACTCATCTTTGGGGACTTTGTTGAGCATGACTACTTTGTGGACTTAATAATCGAGTGCGAGTTATTCTTTTTGGTATTGAATTGACAGTAGAAATTAGATATTTTTTGTGCATGTATTCATTCTTTGGTAACCCTCGAGGAAGACTACCAACTAGGGGGTAAAATAACTGTATGGGAAACACAAACTATTAATAGTTTTAGTTCTTTACAATATTCAGGTGCTACAGAAACTATTAACCATAATCTTTTCAGATGCTCCTGGTGGAAAACATATTATGCAACTTGTTATATTTATAAGCTCATGTGAAGTGGCTCTGAAGTAGGTTGGTTCACAGGAAATATAAGGATAAAACTATTGTTGTTCAACTGATTCCGGATTTCACAGCTAGTGTATGCCATATTTGAAACAAATAAATCACAGAGCTACGAATAGTACTAGTAATGAAAAAATGTTGTTCAAGTGATATTGGCTATGGCAGCTTCTGCCATCTTTGGAACAAATAAATTGTAAAGTTATGAATAATGGTACTAATAAAAGCTCCAGGGTGCTTTACAGGATGAAGGAGGAAGTCCGAGCTAGATGGTCATCATGATCAGAAGTAGGAAATAGGTTCTAGTTGGAAACTACCTATGACTTGGTTTAGAATGTAGTTTATGTTTGGACTTTGGAGATAGTTATCATCGTTTCTTCGGTTCATTGTTGGTTGCCAGTGTAGCTTTATTGGAGATATGTATATCGATGTTTGTCTTTTATTGTCCAGATGTGCTGTTTGTTTTTTCTATAGGATGTGCTCTCTTCTGCTTTATACTTATATATATTTATGTTTATTTTCTTCATTGCCGTTACCTACCAAAAGAAAAAGAAAATTTAGGAAAAAGAAAAAGGAAGGCATTCGACGATAGTTGATTAGATTTCAACAACCATCAGACTGAACCGTGCTACTATATTATTAATTTTCTCTTCCTATTCCCATTTTGGTGTTTTATATCTCTGACCATTAATCTTTGTTGTTTATAAGTTATTTCTATTATACAAGTTACACATGACTTTCGACGTTAGAAGCTCTGTTAAACTCATACGGTGTACAAAGAAGGATCTGTTTTCCCATTGCTACGTGATGAATTTAAGTTTTGAGGTTCTTCCACAGGCAAACTAGTCATAAAATGGCTGAAAAAGGCTACTAACATTTGAGTCAGGTGAATTGTTATTATTTCTTATGATAAATCAGGTGAATTATTTTATAAAGTTAATTGAATTATTTGTTAGTTGTGTTTACTTAAAGATGCATTCCATCAGTATGGAATAAAATAGAAGGAAAAAAAAGTGAAGGATAAACTGTGGATGCACAAATAAATAATGTTTCTTATAAATAGAAAAGAAAGGTGAAGGAAAAACTGAGGATGCACCAAGAAAAGAAACAGTATAGTGACTCAGTAACGAGTTTCTTTTGGTGCTTAGCGTCTTGCTTAGTAAGACTTGTAAGATATTTTTGAGGTTATGTGGGCAATGGTAAATAAAGAAGGATGAAATAGGAACACTGGTATGTATAATACAATATTGATGTTATTAATAACCATGCAACTTTTGGAGTTTTGATTTCTATAGTGATTGGCTAAAGAAAATGTAAAATATTTTGCAGCAGAAGGAATAAAATGAGATTTTTTGGTTTACCCTTTTTAAAGCTGTGTATGTTAGAAATGAAAAGGGAAAAAGGAAATTTATTCCCAATTGGATCCAAGAAATTCCAAAAACTAATTTTTAGAAATTTCTTATTCTTCTTCTCTCATTTATTTATTTATTTTTTCCTTTTCAGTTTAGTCCATCCATGACTACCTTTGGCATGTCTAGCACTGAAAACTTTGTTCAGGGCTGAGAGTTTCGATACATTTGTTTATGGATGACCACTCATTGCATTTATGGCTTTTAAGTTCTGGTCAAATGTCCCTCCAAATTTTCTTCTTTTGGCACGTCTGGTTTCAGTTCTTTTTGTACTTGTAATGGTTAAAATTTTGGAAGTTTCTGAGTTGATATGTTTTATCATTAGTTATTTTCTTTCTTCCCAATGCAGATTTGTGGTTTGCAAGTTCTTGAGTTTATTTGTATTTCATGACTATCAACTGTCCTATTTTGAGGGTTAGCTTGATTATTTGTTAACATATCCATTTATTTTCCCTTGTTAATTGATCATTTATTAGAACTCCATTTTCCATTTTTACAGCTCAAAAACTTCAGATTTCCTTTGGTGTTGGTCCTGCTTGACCTGATAAATGGAGGATAAAGTAAGGTTTCTTACTTCTAATTTATTTTGATGCTACTCCAAGTCTCCTTGAATGGTTGTTCATGCTGTTGGATTTGCAGTATCAGCTGATTGAGATGATTGGAAAAGGCGGATTTGGTGTGGTTTACAAGTGCCGTGAACGCGCGACCAATAAAACTGTAGCTCTGAAGAGGATTATCTTTAAAGATCAAGATGAAGGTGTCCCCAGTTCAGTAATAAGAGAAATCTCACTTTTGCAGGAACTGAATCATGGCAATATAATCAGGTAATGCTAGTTTATTGTAATTGTTATGACAAATAGCCAATAATGAGATGAAAGAGTAATGTTTATAAGATTGATAGTTTTTCCTCTTCTTGCCACATCTTTTTCTCTTTTTTCCATTGATTTTTGGTCCAGAATGTTATGGAATCTTAGTGCAAGTTACAGGACTCAACATTTTCTCTCTCTCAACCAATCAAAAAGAAAAAAAAAACAATTAAAACCAAATTACGTCCTAATATTTCTATGAAATGAGGAGATGTATTCGCTACACTATCGCTTGGAAACTACCTTCTCCTTTTCTATATTAAGAATTGGTGAATTAATTGCTGATTTCTTTTGGAAGTTCTGAAGCGTCCACCTAACCCAGAGAATGAATTTGTCTTGTATAATACGTTTTACTAATATAATTACGTTTTCTTTCCTAATGACACAATTTATTATGAAATGCAGAGCTTAGTAGAGCCCCATGCTAAGGAATAAATAAGAGGTATTATTGATTGCATAATATTTCTTGCTTATGGATTCTTAGGATACACTTGGTTTGTGTTGATGGTTGCTCCATTGTATGCCACCTGCCATGCAACAGCAATATTGTATGAAAAATTAATTATGTCTTTTGTTTAGCATCTCAACATGACTAGTACTCAAAATTCAAAGTACCTAAGTACCTTTAGTGGTTCTTTTTTCTTTTCCTTTATTTTTGTTGACTTAGAGGGGAGTCCTCGCACTTTGGGTGGGATCATTCTCCTTCCGACACGTCGCAGGCCCCAATTAGTAGTAATGTGAGGTGTCGAACCTAGGACCTCCGCCCCGTGAGTCGTGTTCTTGGCCAACAGCTCCACCCCCTTGGGGTTACCTTTAATGATGTTTGTGTGTTCTATAAGCAGAGATTTGTAGCCAATAACTATTAGATTATGTATAAACGGTTTTGAACTTAATTTAACTTAAAATAAACTTAATTTCAACATGTCTTTAGGTTACTTATATATATATATATATATATATATATATTTGTCAGGTGCTCAGGTCTATCTGTTGGCAGATCATTCATAGAATCATAGGCATTCATATCTTCTCTCACCTCCTCAATCCAAGTTTTTTGCCTCTTGTGTTGTTCTTTTGGTTGTCATGTACTTGAATAAAATCAGTCTCACATATTTGTGCATTCTGTTAGTGTTTGTTACATGTTGCACCTCCATCTTAGATGACTTTTCTTGTCTCCCGTTTGATGGTTTCCTCCTCTAACTTCTTGAGTATGCCATTTTTTTCTTTTGGTTACAAATTTGATTGAGTCTATGAAGTGTAAAATCCTCAGATTATAAAATGATTTTTGGCCATCTATTTTTCGTATCCTTCAGATAGAAATTATTTTGATTGAGCATGTATGATGTGCCAAAATCAAATATTATTAAACCAAGTTAATTTTTTTGCCAACAGTGAAGTATTACTTTAATTGAGAGACTAATCACATAACTTAATTGCTTACATTTAAATCGCCAGATTAGTTATCTCATGCTAATATATCATTTATTGCAACACTACATTTGTGGGGCTAGGCATTTGTGCTTCTTCCAGAGTGAAAGGTTTGGTTCCATGCTTGTCCTGAAAAGCTAGGACTGATTATGCATATACAATGCAAGATTTTGATTTAGTTATGACTAATATATCTAATCTAGGGAGTACTTTCTTTTTGGTTTTTAGAAAAAAAAAAATATTTTAGTTGGAACATCAACCTTTCTTTACATGGTTGAACATCTTCTTTTTGATAATTAAAATTTGAAATGACATCAACAATTATAACAAAAAAATTTTAAGTCAAAGAAAATTTCCTGATCCTTTATTCTTTTTTAGAGAAGTGATACACGTATCAAATACGAAGTAAGAAAATGTCGTTTGGTTTATCTTTTTCTCGGGACTCCTTTCTTTTGACTCTGGTTACAACATTTATTCTGTCATCACAACACTTCATCCCGAACCTCAAACATCACTACTTCAACAACATCTTGCCTGACTCCTTCACCTAATCCAGCCAATCTCTCCTGCCTCAACGGTTCATCCACTAATATCCGTGCAGTTATGGACTCGATCAAGAACAACAAACCAGTACAAGATTTGCTTGTAATTGTCTTGACAATTGTTGGAAGGGCAAAACATGGACTCCTTCTATGAAGATTTATGTTTTTTTCTTTTTCTTTTCAAATCTTCTTGATTCTTTGCGTATTACATTTCAGAAAATGATTATTATAATATTGGACATAGATGTTGAAACTCGTGGATGTACAATCTCCCTAAAACATATACTTTCATTTTGTAATGGTGCAAAGACAAAAACGTAGCAAGATTAGGTTTTCCAAAATGTGAGGGAGAAATTAGGTGTGGCACCTGTTAGTGACAAGATTAAAAAGAGTATACTTAGGTGGTATGGACATATACGCAAAAGATCTATATATGCACCAGTGAGGAATGGAAGGATAATTTTCACAAAGGGTACCCGAAATTAACATGAGATGAAATCATATGAAATGACTTTAAGAAGTTAATTATTAGAGGAGAGATGTCTTGTAATAGAAAAGAATGGAGAAAGAGAATCCATGTATTCATATGGGAATAAGGCAAGGATGATGATGATTAGGGTTTTCCTTTTTCAGTGGAGACCCGAATCCAACTATTATTGGACAAATTCATCAAAACCTCACCATTGTTCTTATCTTATAGGATGATTTTTTTTTGCGATTGGTTTTTTTTTTCTCCATATAATAAATGAATAAATTTATCTTAAATTACCAACGTGGAATAGCCATGTAATTCATCATATAAATCACAAATTTTCTTTCGTTGTCTTTATCATTTTCCTTCTTGTTCATGTTTCATCAATTACCCATTGAAGCTTGCAGCTAGCCATATAAATTTTAACCCTTGAATATAAAGTAACTCCAGAACTATTCTTGTTTTCCTTTCAGCATAGTGAGTGATGGCAATAAATGTTGCAAGTTTTTAGTCCTTGGATAATTTATTCTAATTTTTGCTTTATTTCTCTTTTCTTCTCTTGGGACACTTTGAATGTGTATGCATGTGTTGTTGTTACAAGCCCCATGTTTGGTGAATTAATCACAATTCTCAAAGGAAAATTTATGACTCACAAGGGGCGTATGGTCCCATTGTGTCTTTATAGAACTAGAAATGAAAGCTTATAAATCTAGAAAATAAAAGGCTTCATCACTTTCTGTGATAATCATTCCAAATCCGTCCTTAAAGTAACAACTAAATTTTATGACATTATTTATGAGATAACTCCTCTCTTTGTTTCCCCTCTCCTTGTAATGGCTCTATCTGAAGTGATGGATGTATTCCTAGGAATGCTATCTAGTATCTAGAACTCAATGGGGCCATTTAGTTCATGTGGGACTTTTATGGCTTATTGGAAAAATAATAATACTCATCTGTGGAATTGTGTTTATACAATGATTTATATCTTGTGTATCATACAGTACAACATATCACTTGTATTTCTAGAATTTGTAATAGCGGAATGAAGATGAGACGTCAGATGTCTACTTCCACTGAGGCAGACATTACTGGATTTGTTTTTGGCATTTTATGCTATATCACACTTCTAAAAATACTTGTACCAAAATGAATATATTAAGGAGGGCTAACTTTCCATTCTCTTTTAATTGTTGTTCTGGTTGATGGATGTATGTAGAACTTGATTGTCTCATGAGTATAGTACTATAGTGCATCCTTAGTTCAAAAAGGCCCTTATCTATTTAATATACATTAAAAATTTATTGGTTGCAAATAGTAGTAAATCTCTTATGTTTGATTTATCTGCTAGATATCTTTCTATTAACTTTCTTAATTTCTTGAACCTTTGACAACATGTAAACAGTTCTAATTTTGTGAATTTCTATATATATATATATATAATGTGTGTGGAACTTTGGAAACAGGTTACTTGAGGTAATAAACAATGGGGCAGGCGTGGATCTCATTTTTGAGTGTCTGGACCTTGACCTGTCAAAGTTCATTGCATCTTATCCTGAGATTGCAAAGGACCGACAAAAAATAAAGGTGGGTGAGAGCCTTTTGGATGTGTTTCCGTAAATGGGTTACTTATGTTTGTAACTTAAAAATAAAGCTAAACTGGTGCATTGATGAAATGGTATAGATGTTTATGGCCTTCTCTTTTCACTTTTACAGATCGATAAACTTTTCTTTATTGTATGAATATTTTTTATTTGACACTAGCACTTTTCTATTGTTATGACATGATAATGCTTGAGGTGGTTTATTTATAAATTTCACGTTAACGATATTTTTCAATTTTGTGGTCTGATAAAATTGAGTGGTAATATGATGAATAAAGTAGAATGACGGACACTGACGGAAACTCCATACAGTTTTCGAAATACTCCTGTTTATCTTTCTCATTTTTTATCATTGATTTATTTTTATTATTATATATATATATAGTATAAATTTTGTTTGTCTGCAGTTACTTTGGATAGCTAGTTGGGATGACAATGATGATTACCTTCGAACATGATCTCTCTGCAGGGTTTTCTCTCTCAGATTCTCCATGGTGTTGCTTATTGTCATTCTTATAAAATACTCCATCGGGATTTGAAACCTGAGAATTTGCTGATAGATGTCAACAATAACGTAGTGAAGATTGCTGACTTTGGATTGGCCAGGGCATTTGGTGTTCCTCTTAGGAACTACACTGACAAGGTTTGTCACTGTTCATTACTATTATCCTTGTTTTTGTCCTTTTTGTATACCTGATTGCTTTGGTAACAATTTTTCACTTGCCACGGGGATATGTAAGCTTGGAAATTGCACAATTTGAATACCCCAACTTAGGAGACATTTATATATGCCTTTTTTTTTTTTTTTTTTTTTCATGTATAAAAATAAAGAAATAATTGTTCCCAAAAAACAGAAGAGTATCTTTAGTGTGGGATGGGGAACACTCAGCAATTTCCAGATTCCCCTTAGGGACATTTGGACATTACTTTGTGTAAAATTGTTATTCTTCCTGAATGTTGCTCTGGAAGTTGAGATCAAGCTGAATGGGGTTGGCTGAGTGGAGTAATTTGTTCTTCCACTTAGAAAACAAATATGTTTATTATCTTTGTGAAACATTGATACTCTATTATTGTATAACTAGTTGAATAAAAATTGATTATTCTCCTGAGTCCTGACTCTGGGCGTAGCAAGCGAGAGAAATTTGGGAAGTTCTCCTTTAGGTGTCTTTTGTAAACCCACAGTAGTCGGAAAAGTGACATTCGAATATTAATTTCGTATAATTGGTATCATTCTTTCTCAATGTTGTTTGGATGATAAGAGAAAAATGATCGTAGGATTCTTGCCTGCTTTCGTTTCTTTCTCTTCTCTTATTTCCAGCAGCTTCGTTCTAGTTGCTCTGGAACAATTAGGAGATTCTTTATAAGAAATATGGGGTTCTGCTTCTGGGGTCAACATGCTATTGGGTGGTGGACTGAGTACACTCTAGAGGTTGTGATTCTGGCCTTACTAGGAAAGGAAGTCCGTTGCAAATGTAATGTTGAGCAATTAAGTTGTATGTTTTGATCACTTCTCGAGTAACTTTATACTCTTCTACAAGGAAACTATTTAAGCATGAGTCAACTTGTTTATCACATTGTCTATGATTTTCTTACTTTTGAAGTGCACTCCAGGTTGCAACTTTAGCATACAGGGCACCCGAACTTCTGCTTGGTGCCAAATACTCCACTCCGGTTGATAAGTGGTCTGTGGGGTGTATATTTGCTGAGATGGTGACCCGTCGGCGTCGGCCTCTGTTCGATGGATACACTGAATTTAATGTACTGATGGAAATATTCAGGTGCTATATAGCTCACACAAACCGATTTTATGTGGATATTCATTTTCCATGTCAAGTTCATTCAGTCATATTGACATCTGCATTCCTGTACGAAGGATGTTTGGTGTGCCAACTGAAGCAACCTGGCCTGGAGTGACTTCATTATGTGGCTACATTACTAAAGCGATCGCGGTAATAGAGGATTTTGAGCTTGCTTTGTCTCTTTGATCCGCCTGTCACATAATATATCTTTAAAAGGGTACTGCCCTCACCAATTGTTTCTCTTCTGCTGACAGTTCCCCACTGTTGTCACACGAGACCTTGCAGCCGAGGCCCCTAAAGTTGGAGCTGTCGGATTGGATCTTCTTTCTGTAAGTAGGGATTTTGCTATATATACCTTAGTCTGTTTCTGATGCATCACAAGGAGTTTCTGGTTCTAATTGTGTATAAAGAATTTTGAAAACGTCACTGCATTTTGAAAGTGAGTGGAATATATATAAAATATAAATTTTATCTGTTGCTTTTATGCAGAAAATGCTGATCTTGGATCCAAGTAGAAGGATTACTGCTTCTGACGCACTTCAGCATGCATACTTCCGTATTTGAGCTCTGAATGGTTGGATAGTTCGTTCATCCGTGTACTCTCTGCATCTACGGAACTTGATTCTTCTTTTCCCCTCCACTAACAAAACTGTGTACATAACTTGCACTCGTTACTACTGTTCTACTGAAACTGTTACGATAACAAGGTCTTGAATCTCACCAAAAACTAGGTGGAATATCATTTCTCCTTGTTTGGTTGTGTGGAAATATTATGACACCAGAGGTGGAGGGTATTGTTTCTAATGCTTGGATTCGGCCTTTAGATCCTTTTTTTTGCCACAAATTTACCGGCCAAGCCGTATTCATCTTCAATGTGCTTGCTTTGTAGTGCTGACAAAGCCAGTCTCTCCCTGATATTTGCCTCCCAGGTAAATGGACATAAATGGGGGGTCTCATGAATGAGAGACTACTACTTTATGCTTTCATCTACTTGTCTTGCTTTTATCTTCTTTCTTTACCAATGATGGTGTTAATCAAAGTTAGCAGCTTAATGAGGCTAATTGGAGCCTTTGGGAAAACAGTATTGTTCTGATTGGGTGCACCAAATCAAGGTGCGAATTCACCGCCAACACATAGTATATGAGAATTTGTCTGTTTAACGGTCTAAAAACCAAACAGGCCATGAGAATGCATATTGATTATCAATGAATTGCACGAAACCTTTATTTTAATGAGAATTCAACTTAACTACATATGTGTACATAAATATGTGTTGTCAGAAATTGGCTCACATTTATCTTCTAAAATCGAATGCTTGTTCCTCAAAACCTAGTGGGTTTGCTCACAATTGATCAAAATTGATCAGACATGTGATTACAAAGGCTGATTTATTGAAGCAAAAGCCAAGCACCAGATCAACCTCAAATTCCCAAGTTTTGAAATCACTGTAGGGGGCAGCTTCTAACCTTGGTTTTGTTCTCCTTTCATAATGACAAAAGCTTTCGCTTAGTTTTAGAACTTTGACCACGGACTCATCCCAATGGTGTTTATCAGAGGTTACATAGTTTTTTTTTTTTTAGTAATGTGATTTATTGTGAATCATTCATACGTTCGGTAAAGTAAATTTATCCAATATTTTTTTTAAAAAAGTAATGTTTAGAATATTGTAAAAACATACAAACTTATATATTATATTGATTTTAGAAAGAAAAAAAAAAAGAAGAAAAATTGCTAGTTCCCTTATGGTAACAAAAACAAATAAAAAGGACTTTTTTCACTTTTGGAATTGGATTTTTTTTTTTAATTTTTTTTTTAAATGAATCATATAGTACGTATTTATGCAAAATGTAACAAATCTTACCGCACTTTTTTTTTATCATCACTTATGTCTAAGAGATCTAGCAATAAAAATACAATCTACTTTGCATTGGAATTCTATTTATTTTTAATTATAGTATAGATGTAATAGAAATTTCATAAACAAAAGATGGATTTGAGGCTATTTTGTGTAAATTTTAAAATAACACGAGATATATTTTTGCAGTTCTTAAATTTTTAATTTCACTTCTTAAATTTTTATTTAAACTCCAATTCTTTACCTTCAAATCCATTCGTTTATAAAAATAAAAATTAAAATTAAAATTAAAAAATGTTGCAGCAATCATGATCATCATGATTCGGTTGGAATGACATTTTCCAAATGCATCAAACGGTTCTGAGGGGTTGGATGATGGAGAGCACTTTACAATTGCTACACCCCAGCATCTCCTCTTTCTGATTTTGGAGGGAAATGCAGTTACGCCTCTGTATTTGTGTGTGTATAGATAAGATTCTCTCTCCTCATTTCAGCAGATTTTCTCTTTAGAGCTCTCATCTGCAACTATAGTTCGACTCCGAAAACAATCATGAAATTAGGGCAAAACCGGTGATCGTCACTATTTCTTCCAAGTAAACTCTCTCTTTCTCTCTCTAATCACACACTTCCACACACACATCATCTTCAATTTCAATTACAGTATCTTAGTTTTAATATTTGTTTGAGCTTGAGCTTTGTCAGATCCATACGATCTCTTGATTACTACGATCTCGTGATTGCTATGTATGTATGAAGGCCGTGCGCGTATACACCACACATATAACATCTTCATTTTCAATATACAATTTGTCAATAACTGTTGATTGCGATAAGGTCTTTTTTCTATATTAGACTATGTAAGCCCTAGCGCATGTACATATATATATATATATATATATATATATATGCATAGATCTGTATTTATACGTGTATGAGATGATGATGATGATGATTTAGGATGATTTTCTATAGAAACTTTCTAGTTCTTTTATGTGCTAAATTGAATCACTGGTCTGATATTCTGAATGTACTATCGAGTGTGCAAGATATATATGTTCATTAGCAGTACGTATTACAATTTCTTAAGTTTCATAGATGGAATATAATACACTTGAGTAAACAATTGAAACATTTGAAGATAGAATTCAGAACTTTAGAGTTGAAATTATCATCCGCATATTGAAAAATTTAGTTGTTGATCTTAAATTATCAAACAGTTAATATGTTTCGTGATCTCGAGCCGCCTTTACTTCTGTTTTCTAGTGACCCGGTAATGAGTCTCTTTTGGTGCTTAGCATCTTGCTAAATACGAATAGTGGGATGTCTAATATCAATATTGAAGTTATTAATAACCATACAACCTTTTGGAGTTTTGATTTCTATAGCAATTGGCTAAAGAAAATGTACAATATTTCTGCAGCAGAAGGAATAAAATGACTGTTTTGGGTTCACTCTCTTTTTAAGCTAGGTAGATTAGTATTTTTGTATTTTAGGTGCTACTTTAACTAGTGTTGGAACAACAGATATTTTGAAGAATATTTTGCATGATATAAGACTTTACAAGAAATGAAAAGGCAAAAAGGACATTTATTCTCGATTGGATCTAAGGAATTCCAAAAACTAATATGGCTACCTGTGGCATGTCTAGCACTGAAAACTTTGTTCAGGACTAAGAGTTTAGATACATTTGCTTATGGATAACCACTCATTGCATTTATGGCTTTTAATTTTTGGTCAAGTGTCGCTCCAAATGTTTTCTTTTGGCACGTCTGGTTTCATTTCTTTTTCTATTTGTAATGGTTAAATTTTTGGAAGTTTCTTAGTTGATTTGTCTGTTCATTAGTTCATTTCTTTCTTCTCAATGCAGATTTGTGGTTTGAAAGTTTTTGATTTTCTTTGTATTTCATGATTATCAACTATTCTATTTTGAGGGTTAGCTTGATTATGTGTTAACATAACCATTTATTTTCCCTTGTTAGTTGTCCATTTATTAGAAATCCATTTTCCTATTTTTCCAGATCAAAAACTTCAGATTTTCCTTCGGTGGTGGTTCTGTTTGACTTGATAAATGGACAATAAGGTAGGGTTTCTTACTTCTAGGTTACTTTGATACTACTCCAAGTCTCCTTGCATGGTTGTTCATCCTATTTGATTCGCAGTATGAGCTGATTGAGAAGATTGGACAAGGCGGATTTGGTGTGGTTTACAAGTGCCGTGATTGCTTGACCGATGCAACTGTAGCTCTGAAGAGGATTTTCTTTAAAAATGAAGATGAAGGTGTCCCCAGTTCAGTAATAAGAGAAATCGCACTTTTGAAGGAGCTGGATCATGGCAATATCATCAGGTGATGCTCGTTTATTGTAATTGTTACGACAAATAGCCAATAATGAGATGAAAGAGTAATGGTTAAAAGATTGATAATTTCTCCTCTTCTTGCCACCGCTTTTTCTCTTTTTTCCATTGAAACTTGCTAAGAAAGTTTTGGAATCTTGGTGCAAGTTAGAAGACTGAACATTTTCTCTCTCTCAACCAGTCATAAAGAAAAAAAAAAAAAAATTTAACCAAATTATGTCCTAATATTTCAATGAAATGAAGAGATGTAATAGCTACAATATCGCTTGGAAACTACCTTCTCCTTTTTTTTATTTTTTATTTTATTAAGAATTGGTGAATTAATTGTTGATTTCTTTGAAAGTTCTGAAGTGGGTGGGTGGGGATGGAGAACGTCCACCTAATGCAGAGAATGAATTTGTCTTGTATAATGTCTTTTACTAGTATAATCATGTTTTCTTTCCTAATGACAATTGATCAGGAAATGCAATACTTAGTAGAGCCCCATGCTAAGCAATAAATAAGAGGTATTATTGATGTCATAGTATTTTTTGGTTTTGGATTCTTAGGATACACTTTGTTGGTGTCGATGGTTGCTCCATTGTATGCCACCTGCCATGCAACAGCAATATTGTTGAAAAATTAGTCATATCTTTCGTAACTTCGTTTATACTCTCTGCATCTTACATAATTAGTAAAAGTACAAAAGTACCTAAGTACCTTTAATGGTTCTTTTTTCTTTTCCATTATTTTTGTTGGCTCATAGGCATGTCCTCACCCTTTGGGTGGGACCATTCTCCTTGTGACACTTGGCAAGCCCCAATGTGTCATTCTGTGCGGCGTTGAACCCAGGACCTCCGCCTCGTCAATCGTGTTCTTGGCCAAAACTCCATCCCCTTGGGGTTACCTTTAATGATGTTTGTGTGTTCTATAAGCAAAGTTTTGCAGCCAATTATTAATAGATCATGTATAAACGGTTTTGAACTTAATTCAACTTAACATAATCTTAATTTCAACATGTCTTTAGATGACTTATATATAAATATATATATTTTGTCATGTGATCAGGTCTATCTGAAGGCAAACCATTCATAGAATCATAGGCATTCATATATTTTCTCACCTCCTCTATCCAAGTTTTTTGCCCCTTGTGTTGTTCTTTTAATTGTCCTCTACTTGAATAAAATCAGTCTCACATATTTGCGCATTCTGTTAGTGTTTGTTGCATGTTGCACCTCCATTTGACTCTTCTTGTCTTTCATTTGATGGTTACCTTATCTAACTTCTTGAGTATGCCATTTTTTATTTTGATTATGAATATGATGGAGTCTATGAAGTGTAAAAACTTCAGATGATAAATTTCTTTTTGGCCATCTATTTTTCATTTCCTTCAGATAGAAATTATTTTGATCGAGCATGTATGAAGTGCCAAAATCAAATCTTCAGATTTTCTTGCCAACAGTGAATTATTACTTTCATTGAGAGACTAATCACATAAATTAATTGCTTACATTTAAATTTCCATATTAGTTATCTCATGCTAATATTTCATTTCTTGGCACCACTTACATTTTTTAGACTAGGCATTTGTGCTACTTCCAGAGTGCAAGGTTTGGTTCCATACTTGTCCTGAAATGATAGGGCTAATTCTGCATATGCAATGTAATATTTTGGTTTAGTTATGAAAAATATTTATAATCTAGGGAATACTTTCTATTTGGTTTTTTGAATTTATTTTATTTTATTTTAGTTGAAACATCAACCTTTCTTTATACGGTTGAACATTTATTTTTGATAGTAATTAAAATTTGAAATGACATCAACAATCATACAAAAAGATTAAGTCCAATAAAATTTCTGGATCGTTTATTCTTTTTAGAGCAGTGATACACGTCTCGAACACGAAATAAAAAAATGTCGTTTATGGTATCTTTTTCTCGGGACTCCTTTCTTTAGACTCCAACTACAACATTTATTCTGCCATCACAACACTTCATCCCCAACCTCAAACATCACTACTTCATTAGCATCTTGCCCGACTCCACCTGATCCGGCCAATGTCCCCTGCCTCAACGACCCATCCACTAACATCCATGCAGTTATGGACTCAATCAAGAACATCAAACCAGTTCAAGAATCGCTTGAAATTGTCTTGACAATTGTCGATTTTATGGAAGGGCAAAACTTAGATTCCTTCCATGAAGATTATGGTGTTTTTTCCCTTTCAAATCTTCTTGATTCTTTGCATAATACATTTCAGAAAATGATTATCATAATTTTGGACATAGATGTTGAAACTCATGGAGGTCCAATTTCTCTAAAATGTATACTTTCATGCTGTAATGGTGCAACGATGAAAACATAGCAAGATTAGGTCTTCCAAAATGTGAGGGAGAAATTAGGTGTGACACCTATTAGGATAAGATTAGAGAGAACAAGCTTAGGTGATATGGACGTATACACAAAAGATCTATATTTGCACCGGTGAGAAGAGGTAGGATAATTTGCATAGAGTGTAGGAGTCAAATAGGGCACCCGAAATTGACATGAGATCAAATCATTAGAAATGACTTTAAAAAGTTAAATTTTAGACGAGAGATGGCTTGTAATAGAAAAATCGAGAAAGAGAATTCATTTATTCATAAGGGCGATGATGTTGATTTGGGTTTACCTTTTTCAGTGGAGACCAAGATCCAACTACGGCTGGAAAAATTCATCAAAACCTCACCATAGTTCTTATCCTATAGGATGATTTTTTGTTGTGATCGAATAATTATTTATCCATATGGTAAATGAATAAACAAATATCTCTTAAATTACTGATGTGGAATAGCCACATAATTTATGATATAGATCACAGATTTTCTTTTGTGTTCTTTATCATTTTCCTTCTTTTTATTCATTTTTCATTAATTACCTTTTGAAGCTTGAACTAGTCTCATAAAATTTAATCCTTGAGAAACAGGTAACTCCAGAACTGTTTTTGTTTTCCTTTCAGCATAGCGAGAGAAGGCAATAAATGTTGCTACTTCTTAGTCCTAGGATAATTTATTTTAGTTTTTGCTTTGTTTCTCTCTTTTTCTATTGGGACACTTTGAATGTGTATGTGTGTTGTTATGAACCCCAAGTTTGGTGAATTAATCACATTTCTCAAAGGCAAAATCATAACTCACAGGGGGCAAATGGTTCCAGTGTCTCTATAGAACTAGAAATGAAAATTATAAATCTAGAATGGCTTCGTTATAGAAAATGGAAGCTTCATCACTTTTTGTGATAATCATTACAAACCAGTCCATAAAGTAACAATCGACTTTTGTGACATTGTTTTTGAGATAACTCCTCCCCCTCTCTCTTTTTTCCCTTGTAATGGTTCTATCTGAGGTGATGGATGAATTCCTAGGAAGGCTATCTAGTATCTAGAACTCAATGGGGCCATTAATTTGTGTGGGACTTGCATGGCTTATTGGAAAAATAATAATAAATCTAATCTTATGGTGTTTCTACAATGATTTATATTTTTCCTGGGTATTTTTTTTTTGATATATTTATCTTGATACCTTGTGTATCATTGTACAACAGATCATTTGTATTTCCAGTATTTGTAATAGCGGAATGAAAGTGAGACATCAGAGGCCTATTTCCACTGAGGCAGACATGCTGGATTTCTTTTTGGCATTTTATGCTATATCACACTTCTAAAAATACTTGTACCAAAATGAATAAATTAAGGAAGGCTAACTTTCCATTCTCTTTTAATTGTTGTTCTGGTTGATGGATGTATGTAGAACTTGATTGTCTCATGAGTATAGTGCATCTTAGTTCAGAAAGGCCCTTATCTATTTAATATAATTAAAAATTTATTGGTTACAAACAGTAGTAAATCTCGTGTGTTTGATTTCTCTGCTATATTTTTCTATTAACTTTCTTTAATGTCTTGAACTTCTGACAACATTTAAACAGTACTAATTTTGTGAATTTCTATAATATATATAAATATATATATATATATATATATATGTGTGTGTGTGGAACTTTGGAAACAGGTTACTTGATGTAATAAAGAACGGGGCAGGAGTGGATCTCATTTTTGAGTTTCTGGACATTGACCTGTCAAAGTTCATTGCTTCTTATCCTGAGGTTGCAAAGGATCAACAAATAATAAAGGTGGGCAAGAGCCTTCTGCTTGTGTTTCTGTAAATGGGTGACTTCTGTCTGTAACTTTAAAATGAGGCTAAACTGGTGCATTGGTGAAATGTTATAGACGTTTATGGCCTTTTCTTTCACTTTTACAGATCAATAAAGTTTTCTTTATTGTATGAATATTTTACATTTGACTCTAGCACTTTTCTATTGTTGTGACATGATATCATTTGATGTGGATTATTTATAAATTTTATGATAACGATTTTTTTCAATTTTGTGTTTTTTGATAAAATTGAGTTATAACATGACCAGAAACTGAATAAATTAGAACGAAGGACACTGACTGAAACTCCCTACGGTTTTCCAAATACTCTCTGTTTATCTTCTTCTTTGTTACTGTTTACTTATTTGTGTTTTTATAAAATTAAAAAAAAAAAAAAAAAAAAAATGAAAGAAAGAAAAAAAAAATTGCAGTTTCATATTGTTTGTCTGCAGTTACTTTGGATACTTAGTTGAGATGACAATGATGATTACCTTTGAACATAATTTCTCTGCAGCGGTTTCTCCATCAGATTCTCTGTGGTGTTGCTTATTGTCATTCTCATAAAATACTCCATCGGGATTTGAAACCTAAGAATTTACTCATAGATATCGACAGCAAAGTCTTGAAGATTGCTGACTTTGGATTGGCAAGGGCATTTGGTGTTCCTCTTGGGACCTACACTGGCAAGGTATTTCACTGCTCATTACTATTATCCTTGCACATGTCCTCATAAGAAATCATGTTTACGAAATTTGTTATGTTCTATTTTCCTTAATGTTGGCTTGGTATTTTGGAGTGATGTTGAGATTTTTCCTTCATGGGCATCTAGATGTTTCCTGCATACCAAAAATTTCTTTTTCTTTTATTGATTTTAGCAAGAAAAGTTTTAAATTTTAATACAAAATTATTATTCCTGTATACCCAAAATATATATATATATATATATATATATATATATATATATATATATATATATATATATGTTGCTCTGGAAGTTGAGATTGAGCTGAATGGAGTTGAGGGAGTGGGGTAATTCTACTTCCACTTGGAAAACAAATCCTAAAATTTGTGAAACATTGATAATCTTATCATTGTATAACTAGGATAATAACAAATGGTTATTTTCCAGAGCCCTGACTGTGGGCGCAGTGACTCAGAGAAATTTGGGAAGTTCTCTCCTCTAGGTGTCTTAAGTTTTCTAAATCCATAGTAGTTGGAAAACTGGCATTAAGTATCATTCTTTATCAATGTTGTTTGGATGAAATAAGAGGAAACTGATGGAGTACACTCTAGAGGTTGTGATTAGGACCTCACTAGGAAAGGAAGTCCCTTACAAATGTAATTTTGACGGAGTAGGTTCTTTTGTTATCTTTTTCTACAAAACATATCAATACATCTTTAAATATACCAGGATTTGATCACTTTTCGAGAAACATCTTATTGTTTTACAAGCAAGCTTTTCAAGCATCAGTCAACTTGTTTATCACATTGTCTATGATTTTCATACTTTTGAAGTGCACTCCAGGTAGTAACTCTAGCATACAAGGCACCCGAAGTCCTGCTTGGCTCCAATTACTCCACTCCCGTTGATGTGTGGGCTGTGGGGTGTATATTTGCTGAGATGGTGATCCTTCGACCTCTGTTCTGTACAGAAAGTGAGATTACTGTGTTGATGGACATGTTCAGGTGCTAATATAGCTCATACAAACCGATTTTTTGTGCATATCAATTTTCTATCTCAAGTTCAGTCATATTGACATCTGCATTCTCGTATGAAGCTTGTTGGGTGTGCCAACTGAAGCAACCTGGCCTGGTGTGACTTCATTAAGTCGCTACATTGCTAACATAGCCACGGTAATAGAGATTTTGAGCTTCCTTTGTCTCTTTGATCTTCCTACCACAGAATCTTCAAATAGGTACTGTTCATTCTCACCTTGTTTCTCTTCTGCCAACAGTTCCCCCCTCAATGTACACGAAACCTTGGAGACGAGGTCGCTGGACTTGAACCTGCTGGATTGGATCTTCTTTCTGTAAGTTCTGATTTTGCTATACCTCTAACTCGTGTTCTAACCGTGGCCTAGCAAGTCCTTCTGATCACCACTCGCATTAAATTAAGCTTTCTAGTTTTAAATGTCGCTGCATTTTGAAAGTGACGGAATATATATAAAATCTAATTTTTATGTGGTACTTTTACAGTTTGTTATATGTTTATTTTATTATTATTTTTTTTCATAATTGGGTTTTGTATAAAAAGAAAATATATATATATATAAAGGCGCACAGAGGGCATACCCTCAGAATTTTACTGGAAAGAACAAGATCTTAAAGAAAAGCAATTCCAGTAAATAAAAGAAAAACAATAAAATGTTAATTAAATAATGTCTCTAATTGGGACATTATACACATCTAAGACTTCAAATAAAATTTGCCTTGCCACCTCTGTAGTAGAACTAGAGCTATGTCCATGCAATCTTCGGTTTGTTTCTTTCCATATACTCCAACAGCCAGCAACAAGCATGGTATGAAATAAATTATTGGTCTGTTGAAAACGCCACATCAGCATATCATCCATTGTAAAAATTGAGTTAAGGTCCAGTCCCCATCCAAGAGTATCCTTTAACCAGCCCCAAAAATTTCTAGCAAATGGGCAAAGAACAAACACATGATCCCTGGTATCAATATGTTGTAAGCAGTTTGAGCAGCGAGGAGCCAACGACACTTTCCGCTTCTGCAAATTATACATTGAAGGCAATCTGTCTTGAAATAGAAAAACTCCATGCAGAGACCAACGAGGTCTTGCTTTCCCCCAGCAAACTTTGGACCACATAACCTCAGTACATATAGTTCTACAGCCTTGCCAAGCTTTTTTGAAAGCAAAGGCACCACCATCCCAAAGTAAATTATCTGGTCTAGCATGGATAGGTAGAAGTGACAAGTAGTCTTTAATAGGCCTGAAGGTTTCATCCTGCAAAAGAGCAAAGTTCCATCCTCCATCTATAATTAAACTGGATAAAAGAGAAGACCATGAGAACCCCAGCCTTCTAACCAATCTATGTCCAAATTTCTGAAGTAGTGTTTCCCCTTCACACCAAGGGTCAGTCAAGACCTTGAAACGATGCCCAGACCCAATTGAAAATTGATTATTCTTCAGCATTAAATCTCTAACATTAAGCAAATTTTTCCACAGAACTGAATGATAGGACTTTGGAACAGCATTCCAATATGTAGATCTAGTTGCATACCTGTTTTGAAACCAGGGGACCCATAATCTATCTTTACTCAACAAGAAATCCCAAGCCAGAACGCAGTGAGAGGCAACCTAGAGATCCTTCAATTTTCTGATACCTAACCCTCCCTCTGTTTTTGTTCTACACATCATATCCCAGCTAAAAGATGCATTTTCTTCAAATTATCTCTACTACCCCATATGAAATTTCTACACATCTTCTGAATTTGATTGATGATAGCAATAGGCAAGTGGAAGACACTGCACCAGTACAAACAGATAGGAGTGATAACAGTTTTAATCAATTCCGTTTTGCCTGCAATTGACAACAACTTGGTGCTCCAATCTTTAAGCTTCTGTGAAATTTTATCCATAAGAACATTGCAATGATGTCTTTTTAAACCAGTTGCACACAAAGGCATACCCAAATATTTTAAGGGAAGATGTTCTTCTTTGCATTGTAACAGATTCAGAATTGCTCTTCTACATCTGACAGCTTTAGAGAAGATCACACTACTCTTTGGATAACTGATATTAAGGCCTGATGCATCACCAAAATGTTTAAAAATTCTTTGAAGAATTCTGGCATTAGAGATTGATGATTTACAGGAGATTAGGAGATCATCTGCAAAAAAGGTATGACAACAATTGGAATTTGCTTTCAGGGCAGTATTAGACAGAACAAGTCTCCCACTTAAAACTTTTGTGTTAATAAGATGGGTGAGTTGATCAGCTACCAGAGTAAACAGAAGAGGGGAGAGGGCGCAACCCTGCCTTAAACCCTTGGAGGGTGAATAAAGCCTGTGGGAGAACCATTTAATAAAACAGAACATCTTGTGGAGCTCAAAAGACTTTTAATCCATTTCACCCAATTAGAACTAAATCCAGAGACTTCCAAAATCTTTAGAAGAAAATTCCAAGAAACTGAGTCAAATGCCTTAGAAATATCAGCTTTCAAGGCCATGATTGGATGCTTAGAACTAAATTCACTCACCATTTCGTGCCCCATAATAATTGAATCCTGAATTTTTCTGCCTTTAATGGAGGCACTTTGCTCCAATCCCACTAGACTAGGAAGAACCAAAGAAAGTCTTGAAGCAAGGATTTTTGAAATGATTTTATAAATGAGATTGCCCAAAGCAATTGGCCTGAAATCTTTGGGTTTAACAGCAGAACCAGTTTTTGGAATTAAGGTGAGGAAAGAACTACTCACCCCAATAGGAAGAGAACCTTTAATAAAAAAATGTTGAACTGCTGCACATACCTCAGGATGAACAATAGACCAGAAGGATTGATAAAACCTAGCTGGAAATCCATCAGGACCAGGGGCTTTATCTGGAGTAAAATTCATCACAACAGCTTTAATCTCTTCTTGAGTAATAGGGGAATCCAGAATAAGCTTATCTTCAAAAGATAGAGCATGCCTAGGATGAACTTCGAAGGAAGTATCAACTATATTCTCCTGAAAAAGACCTTGATAATAATCAACAAAAGCCGTTTTAATCTCTTCTGTATCATTTGTAACTTGACCATTTTCATTTTCCACAGAAGTGATTGCATTAAACTGATTATGCTGCTTCATCTTTGAGCAGAAGTAAGCTGTACATCTGTCAGTGTCCTTGAGCCAGAGAACTCTGGACTTTTGAGCATATAATATCTCCTGAGAAGACATTGCATCTTGATAAACTTCCTTAGCTTGAATCTCTTTTTCAAACAAATCATTTGTAGGATTATTCAGAAGTTCCATCTGTAAATCCTTCAAAGCTTGTTTTGAATTTGAGACCATTGCTTCAATATCTCCAAATGAATTCTTATTCCAAATTTTGACAGCCGCCTTAACATTTCTGAGTTTTTTCAAAAGTATATGAATTGGAGTACCAACTGCAGGTTCATCCCAGGCTGTCTTAATCACCTCAGAAATATCTTCATGCAAACACCATACTTTGAGCATTTTGAAGGGCTTTGGACCACTTGCAAATTGCCTAAAAATGTTTATAACAACTCCATAATGGTCTGAAGATGATGAAGCTGAATAAGATATTTTAGTACGAGTGAACAATTGCATCCAATCATCGTTAATAAATACCCTATCAAGCTTTGCCAATATCCTTCTATCACTGCCTTGACGATTATATGTTTACTTTGGTCATTGTTTTGCAGAAAATGTTGTGCTTGGATCCGAATAAAAGGATTACTGCTTCTGACGCACTTAAGCATTCATACTTCGGACATGTCTCTACTGCTGGTACTTGATTGCCCATTCCTCATCCATTTCTGTTGCTGGATTGAAAACTATAGCAATGCTAATATAGATAGGGTTTATATCAACACGACCAATACTTGGAAGTAGTCTCTGTGGATGAGTTCATGCATGTACTCTCTCCATCTACGATCTTTGATGTGATTCTTCGTTTCCACTCAACTACGAAAATATGTACATCACTTGCATAAGTACTATTGCAGTCGTTAGAAACTATTATGATAACAAGGTGTTGAATTTTGCTTATCGTGCCACTTTTTAACTGAGAAACCAAGTGGGAAGGCAAAAAGAAATTATAGAAAAAAATTCATTTTTCCTTATTTGGTTGTCTTGAAATATTATGAAGAAATGAAAGAGAGGAAAGAATCTTGCGATGAGTTTCTAAACTTTGTTGTCAACTCTTTCATTGTTGAGTATTAAATGTTGGTTAAGGTGGCTTTGTCTTGTTTGCTGACAAATACCATGAGAAAGCAGATCTGTGATACATAGCATTACCATACCCGCTTTTTATAAAGAAATATATATATAAATACTTTTCACATAATTATAAATTTTCCTTATAGCTTTGATATAGCTTGCATCCAATGATGAGAGCCCTTAAAATGGCAGCTTTTAATAATAATTGATTCTTCCATTTCTTTCCAATTTTCAAAGTTATTACCCAAACCAATCAAAGATGTCTATTTTATTTTTATTTTTTTGACTGAAATTTGGCAATTTACAAATATTTTAGTTGCAAGTTAATTCTAAGAGTGAATTGTTAATCTTTTAGTGAACAATATTTGAACACTAGAACTAGATTCTTACGTTTTAGAAAGAACTTGCTGACACGCATAAGTGGATGCCGCCTCTTGTTTGATGAATAATTCCTATCCATGTAAAAGTGACGGACTTAGAAAACTAAAAAGATTAGTTCATTTTATTATATTCAAATTTTCACTCAGTGTTTATTTACTCATTCTTAATCCTAAACCTTTGGTGAATAACTTTGAATTTCTCTTCTTTGTCTGAGTGGTATAAAATGCATACTTAACATCAATCAGTTTTTACAAAATAATACCAAAATGTCCCACTTTTTTTTTCAATAATCCATGCAAGTACTGAGTTCTAAAAAATTTTTCTTTAAGATTTGATTTGAAAGTTCAAGGAAATACAAACATGCTGTATAGACTAATTTTCATTGGTTGATTTTAGGTAGGATTAAGAAGAACAAGAAAAAATAAGTTAATTTTATTTATTATTATTATTATTATTATTATTATTGTTATTTAAGCATTAAAAATTAGAGAGAATTATTTTATTTTTAACTTGTGACTAAATTGGAAACTAAACAAAACTTGTAGTGAACCTTAGATAATTTGATGTGATTACATGTGGTTGGTAGCATGTGAGTGATGCAGAGAGAGTCAGAAGGGGAATGCTTTGCTTAGAACAAGAGGTGTGGGCAACTCAAGTTATCTATCTACTTTTTAAAAAGTAGAGTGTCACGTAAGCTAAAAAGTGATGACATGGTACTCTATTTTTTTTAATCCATATGTTCTATGGTGTGGAACCCGATTATCTTATTCTCTATTTCTTCTTTTATTAATATTTTATTTAAAAATAAAATAAAAAAATTTGACAATCCAATAGATTGTCACTGTAGGGCCCACAAAAAATTTGACAATCCAATACACAGCAGCCGCAACCAATTAAACAAAGCAAAAAAATTATAGAGTACTTTCCAAAGCGCACTCTATCCGTAGACAATCCAATAGATTATCACTGTAGGGCCCACAAAAATAACACTCTACTTCTTCTTGCATACCACCCCCCCTCTCTCTCTACACTGACACTAAAACCCTCTAAAACACCTTCCGCCCCGGATGCCCTTAGTTTTGTGGGGCCATCATAAATCTTTGACCAAACCAGTTAGACTGAGTGCATTTGAAAAGAAGAAAAGAAATTATGTAACACTGAGATTTGGGATCCAAACCAAATCCAAAATGGATGTTGAAAAGGCATGATGCCCATTTAAGTTTGAAATAATGTTTTGTTTTGACAACTAATATATATGTTCCTCTTCGCAAATAATGTTTATGATTATACATATATACACTCTAAAATAATGTTTTGACAGAACCATTCTTCATAATATTTTTTTCGTACACGCAACATATGTGGAGTATTTGTTATTCATTATTATATGATTTTATTATAACTTTTACTTTCGTTTTGCTTTGAAAGAGAAAATTTTGTTAATTTTATTTTTGAGAGATAATGAAATTTAAAATCTCACATAAAACTGACTCATGCACTTAGGTAGGTGAAACAAAGTGATTTTTATTTGTTTCATACCGTCAATTGTCTGTATCTCAAGTTTTTTACCCAAAAACGATCTATTATGTCAATACAACCATGTAATGTACATACAACTCATTTCCATCATTGCTTTCCCTCCTAAAATAGAATTTTATTCCGGTAATTCCGCTTGAACCAAACGAAAAGAAAAAATTCAATATACACCAAATTAATCAAGTTCTTCATAGCTTCAAATGTCAATCCTCATAATCACAATTCTCATCTTCTTTGTATCCATAACATGAATTACCATCATAGTCTCCGAAGCTATCACTTTCAAACTCGTAGCAAATATACCAACAGGCCAGTGACCTAGCGGTATCAGCCTTTTACCTCCCAAAGGAAAGTCAAGGGTTCAAGTCTCAGAAGAGATATATGTGTGTGAGTAACTGGGAAAAAAAAAATAAAAAATAAAAAATAAAAAATAAAAAATAAACATTTGCAATTACAATGCCCAAGGGATGAAACACAGCAACGAAAAGAGAGCGTGTCCTGTGCAGGCACCATGTAGTAACATTGACTTGAACGCAGAACCACACACTCCCTACATTGTTACACAAAAGGGTCACTAAGTTGCCGATTAGAGAAAGTATGTAAATCAGGGTTATTGAAATCATGGTGATGTTGAGGTACATTTAATTTCTTCATCAGATCATATCCCTCCAACTTACTGATGGATATCCAAAACTCGAACTGATTGTATTGCCAAAATGCTCATTAACCCCAATATAATCATTTTTCGTTTTTGAATTTCACAATCAAATAGAGGAGGCTTCATCTTCTTACCGCCGAATACACAACAGCAAACAACCTTATATTAGGTTGTAAACTCCAAGCACTTGGGTCCTTTTCAACAATAAAAGCGGCGTACTGCTGCAGACGGAATGGCCACAGAGAAGCAGTAAAAGAATACTATTATCAACTCTAGCTGCTCGGAATTTTCGAAGGATCAATACCTGATAACAATCAGGAAAAAGGTAGATATTTTTATGTAAATGTGAATTAGCAATTATATTGTAACTGGTTTCTATGAGAGTTTCATGGAGCGCTTTACCTGTACTATATTATACACTGAAGAAGCCAATGCAGCATCAACTGTGAGGAGCAATCCTCTAACGTTGAAGAATGCATGAGAAGATGATGATGAGCGGATTTTGGTCATCAGAATTGAAGGGCCCTTATAGAGAGAGTCACAATGAATGCTCCTGTAATTGACACTACAGTTCCGATGGATTTAGCAATACTTGAGCTTCTATAATATAGTTTTGTCCATCCTAAAATTCACCCATCCAAATCATATTAGACCACATATCAAGAAATACGAAATTACTAGTTTGGAATCTAGTGCATCAAAGTTAGAACACGTTCCATGCAATGACCAAAATTAGGAACTAGAACATCAATCCAGTAGAAATTTTCGCCAATTGGGTGGGAAAGGAAACTAGAGGAACAAATCACGGGCTTAACGATCTGTTTAAAAAATAAATCACAAGCAAAAAAGCTGGAATTAGAGTAGCTTGATGGTCAAAGATGAGCCACCAACACAACAGCTAAGTTTGGATATAAATTAGAAAACACTGGGTCATCTCTTAATGCAATGTTAAAAGCTTGGTCGGGCGGATAAGGGTTAGGACTTAGGTGCAAGTCCTAGAGCGGCCACTTTTGTACAAAATAATGTCAAACATTAATTCTACCCCCCTCAACCCCTCCAACAGCCAAGGGCATAGTAGCCTAATGATATTTTCTCACCTTCTAAAGTAAAAGGTCGAGGGTTCAAGTCTCCATAGGAGCAAAATGTGGTGTCTTTCTTGCCAATGAAAAAAAAAAAAAAAAAAAAACAACCCCATCCAACAATCTGTGCGAGCAGAAGCAGCACTTCATAATGGCCTTATAGAATTAACATGTATCATTCAACAAAGTAGTCCAAGTTCAACCAACACGAGTGCTCCATAAAAATTCAGCAATGGCGATCTATTCTCATTGTAGCAATTGGATCAAGAAAATTTTGGCAAACAGATCCCTGGCTTGATTAGTGAAGCCTTACTAATTTCAGGAGAACGATGAGAACTATAATAATGGCAGATGGTTCTACAGTGCTGAGCAACGTCAAAGTAAGGGTGAGGTTTCTGGGTACTTGGAAAAAAACAATTCTATGGCTAAGCTCCGAATTCAGTGGCAAGCCATTGCTGAAACTGACTAGTAAGGTTGCATTTGCTGGTTCACTTTACCACATTTGGTGTGTAAAAAACTGAAGAATGTTTTATTAACAATTGCAAGGACTCATAATGTAACGACCCAAATCTAGGGAATCCGGATCTCTAACCGGGTCCTAACCAAACCCGAGGACACCAAAGACAAAATGGTCAGTGTGCACCTTACTATGCATTAGGAGTCATAATGAAGTTGTACTGGTCGTTCCTAATCACATTGGATCATGAAAAGTGAAAATTTCAACTTCGGGTTCATGCCGAGCCTCCTAGGGTTCACAAGGGTAAAATGATCATTTTAGGCCTTAAAGTTCACAATTTGATGTAGTCTTGTCATTCTAAACGTTGTGGAAGTCAAATAGGATCATTATGTTGAAATTCCAAGCCAAAAAAAAAAGTCGCCAAAAATAATCCCTAAATGTGACATTTCTCAATTTTTCATTTTTCTATTTTCGGGCTTTTTTTATTTTTATTTTTCAGATTATTTTATTTTATCCTCTCGTTTTGCGTGCTGGACACCGTAGGGTGTGCCACCTGAATTCCGAGAGTTGTTTGGGGCATTTCCTCGAGTTCAGAACTATTAGAATGCATTGTTAGCTATTTCGGCAATTTCCAGATTTTCGGGCCAGGAAGTCCCGGGTGGGTTCCACACCCGGATTTTTTGCGCACGGGATTATTTTTCAGCATTATGACACTTCATACATTTTATTTGGAGCATATTTATGTAGCTATGTGCTTAGATGTGTGTTTATAGCATGTGTATATGTATATATGTGTGTAGAGACAGATGAGATATTTTAAGGACACGT